CAGGTCCCCACCCCCAGGTGAAGTGTCCCATCCCCAACCCAACTCTTGGGCTAGCCCTGTCCCAGCACACCAAGCCCAGGAACAGGCTCCAGCTTTCCCCAGGCAGCTGCCCTGACCCTGATCCTGCCAGACCTCTGCCCACCTCTGGCAGACAACGTGAACTTTGAGAACAAATTTTTTCCCCAACATGACAGTAAAGCTAAAAAACCCCCAGTCTAAACAAATACTGCATTTAGGAGTGAATGGATTTTTCCCCTCACCCAAAATGCTTTAAGATACGACTCTGACAAGTTGGAAGCATTTATCACACCTCAGAGTAATGTCTCTGTTCAGACCACCTGATGATGACCTCCTTAGACCACGGAAGGTGGGTTCTATTGCCCCACCTGCCAAAAGAGGATGGCACCTGCTTTTTTACCTTTCAGAGGAGTATCTTACCGACTTTAATAGTGGATCCAGCACAGGCAATCTCCTTCCTGCCTATTGATGCTAATTTATTCCATATTCCCAATTAGCCACCAGCTCAGGACTGGCCGGTCACACCAGTAAGGATGAGGATCAGCTAGCTATGCACAGAGTGCCATTGGAGGAGACCAGAGGATGGAGGGTCACCACCGCTGGTGGGTGGTGAGAAGTCACCCCATAGTGCGTTCCTACACCACATTGTCACGTCCCACCTCACCAATGATGGAGCACGTCCCATGCCAGCTGTGCCAAGTCCACCAGCTTCTGCTGAGGTGGCTGTGGGATGACAACCCCTGACAGAGCAGGGGACCAGCTCAAACCTTGATAAATTAACACATACCCAAACCCCCAGGGACTTTTTTTGGTATAACCTATCTCATTCAGGAAGCCAACATAAGTTGGTGTTCCCAGCCTGAAACCCTGAACACACCTTATGCACTGTCTTCCCATCCCTCACAGATGCAGACAGACCACAGACCAGCTCAGCTTTGATGCTGTGAGAGTTGCAAAAAGCTCCGTTGTGTTGATTTGCCCATATCTACAAGAGGCAAAAACAGTTTTGTTAAATAGTCTAGCCTTAACCCAGCCTTGCTTATTTTATCCGCAGCTGTTTGCTAAATCTTTTGTACTTACAAGAACAAAACCCTCAGCTATGCAGCACTTCAAGGATCAGACTTGAGCCCTGATCCTAAAATTTTCGTCATGCATGTTTTTAGAACAAAATACCTTCTTTCTGCTTGGGATTTAAGCATGTGTGTTCCTCTTTCCACTTTTCTTTTTAAAAATAAAAGAACAGAGAAGGGGGATTTGTGGTTTAGGGCTTGGGGGTTTTTTTGTTCTTGAGAACAAACAAAAGCAGATTATCATTCCAGCTCAGAAAATAAAGTATTTGCCTTTTGAATTTTATTTGCCTTTTTAAATAAAGAGAAAAGGGTCTTCTGAAAACACCTTTTGATATTCTCTAACCAGAGCGAAAAAATTTGATAGCTAATCCATAACAAAGTGCTGCTTAACAACAGTTATTGTCATCTGGTTTTTGGGTCATCTGAAACGGAATGATTTTTCCCACGATGTTTATTTGATTACGATACATTGGCCCTCACACCTAACAACTAAACCTCTCTCCTTGAACATCCACAGGAAGAGAAGGGCGGCACTTGAGCCAGTTAAACATTTGCAAGTGTCATTTCGTATTTCAGAGTACCTCCAGTAGCAACAGCTCCATCTGCAAAGTCTGCATCCCATCCCCAAATTTGCAGGAGAGATTCCCAAGGCAGAAATACCCCAATACCCAGCTGCTGGGCAAAAACCTGCCGACCCCGCGCAGCCGCCCTTCACCCCAGGGCTCTGCTGTGCAACCCCAAGGCTGGACCTTGCCCATGGCCCCAGGGGTGCTCAGCTCTCGGGGTAACTCGTATCTCTCTGCAAAGCAACCCAGCAAAGGCCAAGGAGCCTCCTAGAAGGGAAGGGTATGCACAGACCTCACCTTACACACGTGAGCACTGCTCATTTCTTTTCTCCATGTAAATCCAGCATGAAACCAATTTTGGACTGGCAGCAGCAAAATCTGCTTTTTTACTCACCGAAGAGAAGCAGCTCAATTAACCGCCACAGGTCCCCATGTCACGCCCTCAGGGACGAATCTCGTGAACATAATGGCTTTATGAGCCTTTTCCTGCTCTCCGGTCAGCTGCTCTGCAAAGGACCTGGGTGCTCCCTGCCCTCCTGGGGGAAAGCCGGAGCCTCCTCCTGTGCCCCCCGCCTGCTCAGGAATTACTTGACTCGAACGCTGTGCTTGTACTCGAAATAAATCAACATTTAATATTTTACAATTACCTTAAAAGTTCTTTGAACAGTATTTTACAGATCAGCACAGACATTACACAGATTTGGTGATGCTGGACATATGTACAGGGATGACCTGAAGGAACCTCAGACTTCTTTCATTTCCAGAAGGCATCAGAGGTCAAAGCCTTAGCCAGGATTATGAGTCCCTAGGGTTTGTACTTGTTTTTCTCTACAAGATGGAAAATTGTCTTCTCTAGTATTTCTGTAGGGCCAGCTGAAACCAAAGAGGTTTCTATCATTAACAGCGGCAGGGATATATTTAGCCACGGCTATCAAGATCACAAATAGCAACGTTTTGACAGGATAAGGTGCTATTTTAAAGCATTGAACAAAAAACCCAGCTGTCAAATTGCAGCCCCGTATGAGAAGACACACACAAACCTCTTTGGGAAACGAAAAGTCAGGGGGAAAACTTTTTCCAAGTGTGTGGAAAGAGCTATTAAAATCTGTTTCTGATCCCTGGAGCCTATTGGACTTAAAATACTGATGTGTAAAAGTGCACAGCAGTGACCTCAGCGCACAGTCCCACATCGCCCCGCAGGCACCCTGGGAGGGAGGGGACAGCCCACCACCACCTGGCAAGGTCTTGGTGTTCCTGCAGAGTCCAGTCCATGCTGTGAGCTAGAGATGGACACTGCTCCAAGCACGTGGGAAAAGGTGGGTGCTCCCGGGTGGGTGCATGGCCAGGGAAGGTGGGTCCATGCCAGGAATCCAAGCTGACTTTGTATCATGGTGGAACCAGAGTGCCTGTGTATATTCAAGTGATGCTTTGCCCCACACGAGGGTCTCTCCTTGGAGTTGACAATGCAATACCATCCTTGGGATGGTTTATTCAAGTAGAAGGATGAAGCCCAGAGGCCTCGGGAGCGTGTTCACGTCTCATTTTTGCTCATCTCTGGCCATTGGCAGAAGCTGCATCCAGAGCTGCTGAGGACACCAAAGAGCCAGCTGGCACCTTCTGAACCCGAGATGTTCCCCACTGTCCCCAGACTGAGCTGTCCCCAAACAACAGAGGCAGGTCCAGCAGCCAGCGGGGCCAGGATCAGAGTTGCCAGCACAGGAGGGAACTTCCCAACACTCCCAGGAGGTACATGGAGGAATCCAGCAGACAAGCCTGATCCACGCTCCTCAGAGACAACTGAAGCCCCCAGCAGGGCTCTGTCCCTTTTCCTGGCAGATTTAACCTCAAATGACACTGCTGCTGTGCCACCAGCCCTTGGGGACAAAGCACAACCTTGTTCTAACTAGTGCTAAGAGCTGACCAGGTCCCATTTTCTGGAGGATCAAGGGAGCCCCAGTGAACTGATCATCCCCGTGCTGAGCCCTGCAGCCCCCCAGTAGTATCGGGGGTCTCTTCCAGATGTTTTCCAAGGAGCCATGTCCTGGGTATTGAGATGCTTTCAGCCTGCAGCAGGCAGCATGCTCTCCTGCCTGGTATCATTAGTGCAATCACCAAAAACTGCTGAGAAACAGCCTGAGGGCTATGAAACCAGAAAAGGTGTTTCCAATCTCATTTTTTGTCCCTGGGATCAGGATGCTTCTAAATACCCCCAAATATTGCACCTTTCTGTACCTACAGCCTTGCAGAGAGAACGAAGAGGACGAAAAGCCTCTTTGCAGGGGAGGAAGGATCTCAAATCCTGTCATTGCTTGCAAGTGTCACTAGTGTTTTTGGTGCTGAGTCCTCCTCTAGCAAACCTGCCTCCTCAGGGAAGCTTTAGGCAATCCTAGTGGTTTTCTTAGTATTTTCCTCCCTCCTGTGAATGTGAGCATGGTTCCTGCCATATTCCCAGCAACCCCATTGAGGATTCAGCCTCTGGGATGTCTCTAGAGTACAGTCCTGGAGAGCAGGACACAAGAACATGGGCTGAACAGGGACTAGAGCTCCTGGGTGAACCCTGAAATTCTGCAGAAGCTGGAATTTCATCTCCTGCAGGGCCTGGATTTACAGCAAATGCATGTACACCCGACAAGCTGTCCATGTCCTGGTATGGCCTATTGCACTCAATTCACTGGAACACAACCAGTATGCAGCCCGTGCTGGGGTCCTTCTGGGCGTCCACTGGCTCACTCTGCTGCGTGCTGCTTCTCTGCAAGACACCCAACCATCATAATTTGCAGAAAACGTTGAGAAAGCCTGTCCCCCTCCCGAAAGAACCATCCTGAGCATCCTCAACATGTTACGGGTGAAATGCCATCAAGACTTTGGCTGGTTGGTCTGCAGCTCTGCATGCATTGAAGGCCACCTACAACCCCTCAGCCAAGGACATTCATTTTCCAAAATGTCCCTCCATGAGCTCTCCCAGCTCACGCTGGCCTTGCAGTCACTGTCAAATACAGCCACAGCACCATTTGCTGGCAGGAAAATGTCACTGTCCTTGCCTTGCCCTCTCAATCCAGGTGTTGGCAGGTTGCTGAACCAGGTGGAGACTTGAAGGAAACCACTTTCCTCCCATCCGTGAGGAACCCTGAGAGATACCAGAGCCTACCACCAACGTTCCCATTTCCCAAGGATGGGCTAAGTCCAGTTCAGGAGCAGATCAGCCACCATGCTCGTGCTTTGGACTGCAGGATGTGTTGGACAAGAATGGATGGGTCTCCAGGCCAAAGGAGGACCGTCAGCTTCCTTCTCCTAAGGCTGTATTGGTGCTGGATGCAAGTCTGGCCTGAGAAAACACTGGGTTCTTCTACGGCAGTGCTCCACTGAAGGTGGCAATGGGTAAACATAGGAGAGAATGAAACTCCGAGGGGTCCTGGGAGGGCAAAGAGGACTTCTTCAGTGCAAAGAGATTGCTGTCCCTGGGTTTGTAGCACACAGAGATCTCGCACCTGCAGGGGAACAAAAAGAAATCAAGTTTTAAGTAAAGTGTGTGGCTCAGAATCCCGGTCCTCGGGTGCAGAAAAAATATCTGCAAACAAGGAGGAATCAGTGCAGCCTTTAACAGGACTAGAGCTGGAGTCCTGAGAGTCCATGTCTTTAAGCTGGCTCAGACTGGGTCCTAGAGCAGAAGCATCCATAAAGAGTAATTTCTGAAGCTCATTCAGGAAAACGAGAACTTTTGCATCCCCCAAGTTTTGGGGAGAGGGAAGTAGCTCCTTTTGTATTTCATCCATATTAAGTATATGAGTATACCAACTCTCCCTCTAGCCTCTTGAGTTGCACAACAAACAAGTAAAACACTTCCCTTCAGGGTTATTTAAGAAATAGGATTCAAAATCTTTTTCCATTGGAGGCAGCATAACCTTGCAGAGTTCTGCTGTCTCCGAGGGAGAAATTAAAATGCTTACACATTTTTAAGACCTGTGGATCAACTGGTTTTATCTCTTTGTGCACATGGAAATATGTTGTCTACAGTGAGTTTTCAAATTCCATCACCCGGGGAGCCAGCTTGGTGGCCTGAGGACATGACTGATGGATGAGCAGTCAAACAAACAATTCTTGCTCTGCCCCAGTCTCTCCCATGAAGATGACGGGTTCCTTCTGCAACGGGTATGCCAGAGGTCATGGAAAACCCACATGAGGTTTAGAATTTGAAGGCTCTGCTCCTACACCCAGTGGTCTCCAAATACCTCATTTATGTTGCGTAACTCTCCTCTGGCTATTGACCGGTCTTGCTGAAAGAGCTGTTCTTTACAGAGTTGACTGGGGACCACCCTTTAGACTGTTGCTGGGATCTGGGCAGGACCATCCATCCCACCTGAGCTCAGCTGCACTACAGAGCTTGGAGCTCTGTCACCCAGCTTGGGCATCTGGCACAGATCCACCATGGTGCTCAGGGCCTCCTTCCCCCAGTGCCTACCCACGTGTCACGGACAAGTCCTTACACCCAGGATGCACCATCCCAGGAGGGCTGAGCACGGCAGGCAGCCAGCCACGTTGCAGTTCCTACCTGGTTACACTCTGGAGGATCTTCTGCTCATCCTGGTCTAGGCAGACGGCGAATGAGGACTGGACACCGATAATCTGGACCTTGTCTACTTTTATCTGGGACACGCTGATCTGCTGATAGAAAAATGAGTCTGGGTGAGGGAGGTGCCAGGCTCAGTGAGTTTCCCTGGGCAGGGAGCTGGGTGCTCCGAAGGCAGGCTTGGTGGCCAAACGGATCCCCCAAGGAGCTACTGTCTCCTGCCCTGCTTCCCTCCCAGCTGAGCCAGGCTGAGCTCCTGTTACCCGATGAACCATGATTTGAGTTACCTGATTGAAGCTTTTTTTGGATTTGGAGTTTTGCCTTTTCACCACCTCCGTCATGGTTAAGTTGAGACACTCTGTCTTTGAGGCTGCAACAAAAGAGAACTGTTATCGCTCGGGGATTCTGGGTCACTGGTGGGAACCCAAGCGGTCCCTCCACCCCTCAAAGCATCCCAGAGCCCGTGGCTCTCGGCAGAACCCTCGTTGGGGGAATGCAGTGGAGTTCTAGCTTTACTTCCCCCACACGGAACGAAAGCACTCAGAGACACAGAACAACACCCTCTAATTCGCAGCTGCTTCCCAAATATAGCAGAAAAGGGCATTTAACTATCTTAGGACCTAAACAGGAGAAAAAAAAACATTGCTCCATCATCATGAGAAAATTGTAGCTCTCCCAGCTTGGACTTCCTTGCAGCCCACCTGGAGATGCTTTGTCGTGTCTGGAATCACAGTGACACCCTGTGGTCAAACTGCTGAATGTGAAAACCAACAGAGACAAATCAAGGGGACGGAGTTTCTCTTGGAATGAAGGAGACTGATGACAGCTTCTCCCCAGCATGGAACGAAAGACACCCCCTGAAGCAAACCCACTGTGCTGGCCGCACAAGCGAAGCTCCTGAGCTAACACAGAAACACCCAGCTCAAAATAGAGAGAGGAGGTGAGAAATTCATTCCTGATGGGTTTTTTTCCAAGGTTGTCTGCTTGGCTTCATGGACAGGGTGGCAACAGGTGGGACAGGAGGGACAGAGGTTTAGGAGCATGTGGGAGCTGTCTCCTATCCGGTAGATCACCCATTTTCCCCGACTGCTCTGCTCACAAACCACACATCTGCCAGACACAAAGCACACAAGGAAAGAGGAACTAAAAAACTCCTCCGTTCACTCAGAACTGGGTGTCTGACTGCCAAAACAGCTGTTCTTAGGCAAAAATGAACAGGTATTACTGCTTAAATACACACACAGACTAAAAGTCTTGCTGCTTTTAAAAGCCTCAAAGCCCTGTTAATACCCCATCAGAAACCTGATTAGAAATTTTGAAACTATGAAGCAAAACCATGTGGCAGCCAGCTATCTCTGTGCGGCAGGAAGGAAACCAGGCTGAAGCACCAGCTTAGCCAGACCCTGCTGAAAGCCGGCTGCACGGCAGAGCTGCTGCGGACGGCCGGACAAGCACCTCTCCTTTGGCCCTACTTCACTTCACAACCGTTTGAGCTGTCTCTCCTTCTTACCAAGCAGGTGTTGTTCTGGAAAGCACCACTCTCCAGTGATCATCCTGCTGTTCAGACCGTCCCAGCCCCATCCCTCTTGGGCATCCCATTTCCCTGGCTGGAAGCTTAAGGATAACGGGAAATGAAGCGCCCTTTGTCCCTGATGCAGTGCTAAGGATAGACAAGGACTACAGGATGCCCCACAGACCACCAGGCACCTTCCACGTCTCTTCTCCTGCACTCCCGCATCTCTGCTTTGCTCCAGTTAGAAGATCTATGCGGTCCTCTCACTCCACCAGTCCCTCCCATCGCTCCCCAGTCCCTCCCATCGCTCCCTACCCAAAGCCACAAAGACCACCTCTACCCACCTAGTTCTTCATACTTCTTGCAGGCTTTGCTAAGGTTGACAGACGTGCAGACCTTCTCAACATTGTTCCAGTGACTTCTTCCACTGATGGCTGTCTGCAGAAACCAACCAAAGCCCGTGAGATGCCCTGGTCCAGGCTGATGTTCCCCTGCCTCCCACCCTTAACTGTCTGGCTGGACTAGCTCAGATCAGGATGTACTTGGAGCTGCATAAAGTTTGAGGAGGCACTGAAATTCATTTAACCTTGGGTTTACAAATATTGCCCAGGCATAACACTAAATAACTGCAAAAAAACCAACAAAACAAGAGGAGTGCTGTGACCAGCAGACGATCACTCCCTGGAAGCAGTCCACCAGTATAAAGTGACACCGAGTACATGTCCAGCCTATGGAAACTGGCTTCATGTTGCCTATTTTACTGGGATGAACAGGAGTGGAAAGCCACCCCCAACTAGCCAGTAAGTAGAAATTAGCTTGAGTTTGGCTCATCTGGGCTTGGATTCAAGCTCTTCCAGCAGGCTGTCAGCACTTTCCTCTCTCAGCCCCCAGCTGAGACATGTTTGCCCAGCACCGAGGCCGTTTTCTGCCTCATCTTTGTGCGAGTCCCGTGCGCTCACCTTGCTGTAGGCGATCTGTAGTGTTAGTGGGATTGCTTCTCTGTCCCCATCTATGCCCAGCCTTTTGCTGCCTGGACCTGCACAAAACAAGGAGCAAATGTCACCCAGTGGCCTTTTATCCCTATTCTTCAGTTGGCTACTGATACAGCAGCATGCTCAGTACCTACAGAAAGGGAAAAAAAAAAAAAATTGGTTTGCTGAACACAGCTGTGGAACGAAAAGGCAAAAAGAAAAGGTGGCTTAAAAGCTGCCAGAAAGCAATTAATCCAGTACAGAAATGTCAACACAAAGCACAACAAGCGGCTCTGCGAAACTGAAAGCGGTGCTGGCTAAGCTGGTGCAGAGGGGTCAGCGCTCCAGGGAAAACACAAAGCAATGAAAGGCTGCGGTGCTAACCCAGCTCCTCTTTTTCCGGGCATATTTGTGCCCACATTAAATTAGCCTTGAAATACTGTGCCCGACACTTACTAACTTTTTTTTTCCTGGATAATTTTTTGCAGCTGTTAAGTGGTGTGCTGACAGACAACCCAAGGAAAGAAAGAAAAAAAAAAAAAAAGAAAAAAATCAAAGTCAGAAAGGATTGGTGGTTTCATGGGTTATTGGGAAGAGGTCTTGGCCAAGCCTGGATTTTGGTGGAGTGAGGTGGTGACACTTCCTACGGAGGGTATTTTATGAGCTCTGTTTAGAAAGACAAGGCGAGATCACAGAAAAGCAATTGGTTAAAAAAATGAAGCAACGTGTTTCAATGCAGTATTGTTGGGTGGCCATGAGATGTCTCTGCGAGCTGCGCCACACCAGCAGCATGTTGTCCTTGGTACCCGAGAGAGCTGGAGACCAGGCTGCACGCAGATGCTCCTGCTGTTGCTTCTTGTCTCTAATAATTTTATAAATTTCTAGTGTAAAAACTCCTGGATCTCCCTTGCAGGAAGGCTCCAGGCACATGCACAGACCTTGCTTTGCCGGTAAACTGAGAAAATGGAAAGAGGGGTTTGAGAAATGACAAAGCTGGACAAGGCACAAACAACAGAAAGCAGCGGAAAGACAAGATGAAGAGCTGCACTTGCCCAGGTGCTGATGAGAGGAAGGAAATGGGCTCAAAGCTGTGTTATTGCACATACGTGTTAGAGTTAACAGCAGTAAAAACAAGGCATGGCCACAGCTTTGCTCCTGAAGAGGCATCTGAGAACGATGATTCTTCCCTTCCAAATTTGTGAGAAGAGGTCTGGATCTGTGCCCAGGAAGCAGCCCGCACTCCCTCTGGCCCCTCTGTCCATTTCTCCCCCAGCCCAGCAGTTTGCAGACCTCTGCCCCGAGGCGGTGGGTGCAGAACCAGCTACAGACCTGAGGCTTTGATGGCCCGCGTGGCTGCCGAGTGGCCCAGCTCAAGGGAATGGATGAAGACTTCGGTCATCTTTTCTCCCCCGATGAAGGTCAGCTGCCGGGCGGAGAAGAGGGAAGACGTGGTGGTGAGGAGACCCAGCCCGCGCCAGGCAACATTCACTCCCTCACCCCCTTCTGCAGGAAACAGGTCAGTTTGGGAAAACACTTTCACATTTTCAAAAATACGCCTTTCAAGCACTGCCTTGGGTGACACTTGCCTTCAGCTGTATTTCTGACTGTTTTAACAGACCACCAGCAAGTAAAACAAAAACCCAATTTTCCCTTAAAGAAAACTCCCCAACCCATGACGAGCCTAACAGCAGGCTCTCGGCATCGCTGTGGACAACACAAAGCCCATGAACAGCAGCAACGCTGCTCGCCAAGACAGGGCTGAGCCCCGTTGCCCACCTCTGTCTGGTAGAGCTGCAGCAGGACGGGGCGCGTGGCGAAGCGGCAGTAGTAGAGGATCATGTCAGCCAGGATGGGCAGCTGCTCCTGGGAGTCCTCCTGGGGCTCAGCCTCTGGTTTGGCAGACTGAGGTGAGAGAATAAGTCACAAGTCTGATGGGGTACATGGTACCCACAGCCCCAGTGCCAAGTCCCACCCTGCCAGGGATGGAAACCTTCCTGACCACCCATCTCCATCCCGTGTCCGTGTAGCACAGCCTGTTCTATAAGATGGTGGTGACCCAGTGCTAAGCAGAAGCTCTCCGCTCAGCTGCCCCGTCCCTCGGGGAAGGGGGACACCAAGCCCTACCAGCTGGCATGGACATACCTGACACAGGACGTCCATGGGCAGGTTCATCAGCCCAAGAACGTTGCGCTCGTACCATGGGTCCAACATGCCAATGTAGTGGGAGATGTCATTGGTGCTGCTCTCCATCCCACCCAAGGTGGGATCCTGAAACCAGACACACTGGGGTCACTCTGGGGTCCCCCCAAGGCTCCTCACCCCACACTTGGGGCTGGTGGAAGAGACCCCAATACTCTCTCAGCCTGCCCTGCCGGGCTCCTCGCACACCGCTCCCGGGGCCAAGCAGAGTGCTGGTGGCACCATGAGTCCCACGGCAACCAGGGCACCTCCCGTCTGCGCCGAGGGCCGGAGCTG